ACATATAAAGTACTACATATTTCTACTATACAATATTTGTAATTTGCGAATTAAAAGAAAATAGAGTGAAAAATTTCATTCAAAAAAAGACATATGTACATACAATAAGTAAAGAAGATCGAAGGATTATTGTGACAGATTACTATTACTATGCCAATAACCTGGTACAACATTCAAGAAATGTATATATTGAGGTCCGTGATATAATCTAGATCTTTAATCTACTACTGTAACCCTAATACTAATTACTCGGACCAGGTCTTTCTGCGCCTCTTTCAAAAGTCTAAAACTATTACTATATTACAATATAGATTTGATAGTTTTAGTGCAGCATTTTAAATAGGTTTTTGTAGTTATAGTAGTGTTTTAGTTACCGTTAGAGTGTTAGTTGTTATTAGTATGACCTATTCCTAAATACATTTATTCTGGGCGGTTACGTGCAACGATGATAAACCTGATCTCGAAATTTGATTGCGTGAATGTTGCATAAAAAGGTCGATCCTATTACGCCGCCATTTCATCAAATTTTTATCTCGATTACTAATTGCAAAGATCTCAAAATGATAGCATTACCAAACGAATATCTCTTCAAAATTTTTTATAACATCCGAACTAATTATAAATGCTTATTTTCGTGCCTTCTGGTGAACCGTCATTGGTGTAGAATTATTGTACCAATATTATGGAGCAAACCAATTGACCATTGTCATGGGCAAAATATGATCTCAAGCCCCTGTGAAAAAAATAACGTGAAGACCATGCAAAGAACCGTTACACTACGATGCCCGAGACCTAATTTACCAATGACAATCGTATGCAAGCCAAACCTGTCCAAACCAGGCCTTCTAAATTAAAGCATTAATGCGATCTTATGAAAGCCAAGCCCCCATCAATGATCTCATTGAAGAAAAAGACACTTACCCGATTCGGTATGACATCTGTCAAAGTAATATTACCTTGTCGGGTAAGGTGTGGTCGTGAAGAAGAAAAAGCACATGAATTGATGGAAGAGTCAATGAATGAATTAATAAAATTGACGGGTAAAGAATGAATGACGGCGTAGAAGCCTTCATTTGACTTGCCTTCTTTTTCCATTCCGTCGAACATTTCAATAAGAATGGCTGTATGAAAGGAGTAGGGCATTAGATTAGAATGGATGTTTGGCTAAAATTCAATGCCGGTATAATGAAAAAAAAAAAGATGATGAGAATTAACTTAGAATTTTCGATTTTCTTCTTTTCTTGACTTGTAGTTTTGTATAAATAAGCGGTCAAATCACCCTTGTAAAAGGATATAGTTGTTAACCATGTAATTGCTCCTATATAAAAAAAAAAAAAAGCCCTTTGTGTCAAATAAATACAACATTCTTTAAGTTTACCCAAATCACCCTAATTGTAAAATACTCAACCTGAGCCTTAGACCTTGCTAGATCGTTCCCGCCTCCAACCCGTTGAGTAGATCTGATTGACGCTTTGTGTTGTGTGTGTGGGTTTGTCCATTTGGCCCACTACAATTTTGGTGGTGACTGTGAGATATGACAAAATTGGCCGCTTCTAATTGTAAGATATGAAATTGGAACCGTAATGACGCTGACTATCCCTTCCTGTTACAAAATTTATTTTTTATTTTTTATTTTATTTTTTTTTTTGTTTGTTTGTTGAGTTGAGGACCAACGTACCGAGTCCGAATTGTTTTGATTTTTTGTGAATTCTTTTCGTGGACTAACGGACTGTGTTCACTTGTGTTTATTTTGTGGTTTTTTTTTTTTGTTTGAATTGAGTTGTCTCTTTGAGAAGTTTTACTTTAGGACCAACGTACAGAGTCCACCCAAACCATTGTTGTACCCTTGCCGTCGTATTATGATTCTCCACCTTCAACCTAAAAACAGAAATCCTGGTATCTTCTAGGGAACTGGTGAAATAGTCAAAACGCATAATAGAGAAAAAGAATAATAATAAATAATAAATAAATAAAAAAAAAAAAAAACTATATATATATATATAGACTCTAAAAGGGTCATCTTAATAAACCTTAAAAAAGGAAGCGATCCCACCTCTTCTAGCCAACAATCAGATCTTTTACGGAAACTTGGCAATCTATGTATACGGCACCCCGCCCTATAAACCAGCAATAAAAAGGCACCATGGATCAACAAAACGTTCGCCAAGACAATAATGATGACCCTCTCCCCAACCAAGAAAATAATGAAGACTGATCCGTCTACAATGAGGACCAATGATCGGAATATAGTGATAGAAGTAGGACTCCCGTTGATAATTACCCCATATATCTTGAAAGAAACCATGGTAGAAATAATCCGAAGCTGTATCAAAACCAGGACGCTCTTCAAACAGTTTTAAGAGAAATAGCCAACGCTTTTAGCCACCGCTGGAGTTGCTGCCACTGCTTGAGTTGCTGCTACCGCTAAAGCCCCGCCAGAGCCCCATCAGAGAAACTAACTTGGTTCGTGTCGAATTGTTCTATAGAACAGAAGAGGAAGACCCTCTCGAGTGGGTTGAAATGTTCGACCGTGCTGCTGATCTAACAATTGGTGGCCTGAAAAGAAGGTTAGGATAGCCTCTAGATACTTATGAGGCATTGCCGCTAATTGATATTATGGTATTAGGAACCTGCTGGAATTTTAAGACAACGAAACTGAGCCAGTTTCGTCTCATATTTTACGCAGTATTTTGCTACCCCTGAATGTCATTATAAGTGGCAAGTGGACTTGAATTCTCTCATACAATTGGAAAGTGAGAGCATTGATTCGTATGCGTTCAAGTACAAGAAACTTTTGCGAAGAGTCGATCCAGAGCATCTGTTGCCCCAAGCTTATGTCATACACATGTTTTTAGAAAGACTAAAATCGAAAATTGCCTTCTGGTTATGTGTCACTGAACCCGCCACATTGGAAGAAGCCATACTTGGTGCATGAAAAATTGAGGTTGGAGAATATTACAATGCGAGGAATGGAGAAAGGTTCCAAGGCAATAGGAAATTAGAAAACGATCTTAATAATTTAACCCGACAAATGCAAGTAATGCCCGAAAACTTAACCACTGCCCCTACCTTGCCCAAGGAAACTGCCCCACCAGATCCCACCTTACACATAATAATAATAATAATAATAATCATAATAACAGTAATTATGATTCGTCCCGGCTGGTCTGTTATAAATGTGATGAGCCTGGCCACATCTCTTGCTATTGTATGTTGGAGAAAACCCAAAATCAAAGCCAAAATCGGCCCCAACCCGCCCAAAATAACCCAACCAACCAGCCCACCCATATCCTACCCAGACTCGACAATGTTAATTTTTGCAGAATTGAAATGGATTAAGGATTTGAGCTTGAAGTCGAGGAAGAAGAAGCCTTTGTGACCCCCACGGCCCGTTATCAACCATACTCCACCCAAAGTCCCAAAGAATGACACTCTAAAAGATTAGAGGATCAAGCCATGGAAAGATATCGGTTCATCCTCCTTAGACCAGAAGCTCCCATTGTGCCTCCAGTAAATGTGAACCCTTTGCAACTAGTACCACAAGCTCCAGTAGCACTCTCAGTCAATGTGAACCCTTCCCAACCAATACCAGAAGCCCCAGTCGCCCTTTTGCAAGACCTCGACGAAAGAGAGGCCCCTTGGTAATCGATCAATTGGAATCGTACGATGTAGCTAGAGACATTATAGAATCAAAGGCCAATATAACCCTGGGACAAATGTTGAAGTACCCAGATCAAAGGCAGAAGCTAGCAAACGCTTTGAGAAGACCGTTGCCCCCGCTGAAATCAGTAAACCAACCCTCTGTGACCATGCAAACAAGCACCATCCAGAATTAGTCGAATGGAAGAACAACTGCCGCCCATTGTTACGTAAGGATAAAGAATAACCCTGTGATCACTGTTCTGAACTCTAGTACAGCTGTAAGCATCTTTTCCAATAAAATGATGGAAAAACTATAATTGAAAATCACCGAACATTTCACCACCATGGTAGTAACAGCGAATAGGACCCAAGTAAGAATGTTAGAAAGAATCGTTGACGTAAAGCTAGTATTACGTGGCTTTGTAATCCTGACTAACTTCCAGATCATTGAATCTAACGATGAGACTCTTCTTCTTGGAATGGATTGGTTCAAGCAGACCTGTGCCCATTTGCATGTGGATGAAAGTAGATTATATGTGCAATATCAGGACCAGGTTGCAGAAATCCTGATATCATACAAATGGAGACTATCCCCCTATTGAAGTTGAAGAGAATGAAGATGATTGGACGTTTAACGAATTCGAATACGAAGATAAAGTATTGGATGAGGCCAAAGGTTTCTACAGTGAAATATCAGATAGCGACCTCTTTGATAACTCTTGTAAAAATTATAGTCCCACTGTATATTTGTCGCACATAGAGGATTACCATTGAACGAGCCCAATCTTGGGGAAGAGTTCCTGGAGCAAAAATTGAAAAAGAGTGTAGACAAAACCTACCTAACCTGAAGCAAAAACGGGAAGCAGAAAATTTGCTAAATAATGAAATAATGATCTTTGCACGTGACACCAACGACTTGGACCAAACCAACCTGATGGTACATGAAATCGACATGGGAAGTGCAACCCCGATTAAGCAAACTCCCTATATGGCCGCCCCCAGCATACGTGAATTCATAAGGAAGGAGGTTGAAAGGTTGAAGGAAAAGGGTCTTATCAAAGAATCCAAAAGCCCTTGGGCCTTCCCAATCGTCATGGTTCTAAAAAAGAGTGGAAAGCTGCGTATGTGAATTGACTATCGGAAGTTAAATGCTGTGATGAAGAAGGATGCTTTTTCCCTTCCCAGAATTAACAAATTACTGAAAGTATTCGGCTGCACCTCTTGGTTCTCTACCTTGGATTTAATGTTGGGTACTGGCAGGTAAAAAAAAAGGAACAAAACCAAGAGAAAACTGCGTTTGTAACAAACTTGGGTACCTATGAGTTCCTGGTAATATCTTTTGGCCTTTGCAATGCTCCCACCACCTTCTAGTGTCTAATGAATCATGTGCTGGTGGAGTGTATTGATAAGTTTGTCGTGTACCTTGATGACATTATTATTTATTCCCTTCTTTCAATGATCACGTGAAGCAACTAACGATCGTTTTTAATAAGTTGCGTAATGTTGGGCTTAAGTTAAACGTGGATAAGTGCTCTTTCTTTAAGCCTCACTTGCAGTTTTTGGGGCATATAGTCAGTCGTAATGGTGTTCGTCCCGACAAAGGTAAATTGGATAAAATAAAGCATTTTCCCACTCTAGTAAATCTGCACCAGCTCTGTGGATTCATAGGATTAGCATCCTACTATTGGAAGTTTATTCCAAAATTCGCTTCGATTGCTCGCCTCTCCACCACCTACTAAAAAGGACGTTAAATACGAATGGAAAAACGAACAAGAAACCGCTTTTAATAAATTAAAGCAATATTTGATTAATGCACCTGTTCTGCGGTATCTGAACTTCGATAAAACCTTCATCATTCACGCCGATGTGTCCAGATCAGGCCTTGGTGCCATTTTGGCGCAGAAGGATGACCTTGGCAAAGAGTACATTGTTGTGTACACAAGTAGGAGCCTTACAAAGACCGAGCGAAACTATACAACCACCAAATTGGAGTGCCTTGCAGTTCTTTGGGTGATCGAACATTTCTGCCACTACTTTGGTCTTGACTTGTTTGTTGTTGTTACTGATCACGCAGCCTTGAAATGGCCTCAAACTGTTGAATTAACCAGTCGTTATGCTCGCTGGCTAGTACAGATGCAACTGTATAATTTCAAGATACAGCATTGCTGTGATCGTGTACACCGTAATGCAAATGTCTTTGTTGAGACTCCTTGTAACTCTAATTGAAACCTGTGCTCAAACCTGTGAAAAACAAAAAGAAAAGAAAACCTAAAAGATTAGTACCCAAGTTTGTTACAAACGCAGTTTTCTCTTGGTTTTGTTCCTTTTTTTTTTACCTGCCAGTACCCAACATTAAATCCAAGGTAGAGAACCAAGAGGTGCAGCCGAATACTTT